AGATATTCCTTAAGTTTTCTACAGACAAAATCAATTTCTTGTTCTTGTTTTATTAAATTTAGAAAATAATTTTTTATCGGTAGATTCCTTTTAACTGCTCTAACGAAAGTGTCTACTTCTATCTCTAGTTCGTTTTTTAAGTTTGAATTTGGAATAGGGCCGCGCCTTAGAACGTCTGGTATTACGAGATTTTTACCCGGAATATAAAGAACTGTATATTTGTATCTCATTAGACGCATTCTAAATCTCTGCAGTCGCAGAGTCAACGAATATAAATCTTTGGTTTGTAGAATCTGTAGCAATGGCTTATGATCTGTTTCAAAAATTAAATTTCTAATACCCGAAATATAATCTGCAAAATATTCCGCCGCCCAGGTTAACGCGAGAGCTTCTTTTTCGATTTGAGCGTACCTTGTTTCTGCTCGACTTAACGTTCTTGATCCAAAAGCTACAATTTCTCGTGTTTTGTCTGGCTTTTCCTGTAAAAGACAACAACCTAATCCGTATGAGCTCGCGTCAGCACTAATAATTATGGTGTTATTTGCGTCAAAAAAACTAAATTGGGAGGACTTTCTAAAATAAACTTAACTGTGTCGAATGCTTTTTGTTGCACAGCACCCCACATAAATTCGTGCTCTTTTTTGAGTAAAGAAGTTAGTGGTTCCAATAGCTCTGACTTATTATGAATATATTTAGCCGTATAATTAATTAATCATTCCAAGTAGTCGCATTAGTTCTATCTTATTCTGTGGAATAGGAAATTCGCGTATTGCTTTTACACGATCAGGGTCCACTGAAATACCCTTCTCGGAAATCACATGACCTAGACATTTTTCGGTTGTTTTCCCTATAACACATTTTGTTGGGTTTAAAGTTATTCCTTCTTTAAGTAGTTTTGACAGAACTTTATGTAATATTTCGTCATGTTTTTTAATACCGTTAGCGTGTATCAAAATATCATCCATATGGAAAACTACCCCTTCTACCCCGGTCAATATTTTGGAAAAATTTATCATGAAATATTCGGGTGCACACGATATGCCGAAAGGAAGTCGTTTAAAGAAAAACCTACCATATGGTGTAATAAAAGTAGTTAAAAGCTGATTTGCCTTGTCAAGTTTAATTTGATAGAACCCACTTATGGTATCCAATTTTGAGAAATAAATAGATCCATTTAGCTGTGCCAGAGTATGTTCAACCTTCGGGAGTGGAAAATGAGATCGAAGTACATTTTCATTTAACTTGGTATAATCACAGCATAGGCGAACTGTATCTCCTTTGTCTACGCAAACTATCGGACTTACCCACCTAGTTGGAGTCTCAATTGGTTCAATTATGCCCAATTTCAATAATCTGTCTAATTCTACTCTCAGCTTAGGAAGCAAAGCTAACGGAACGGTTCGAGGTACTGATTGAACAAACGGCTTAGCGTCAGGTATAATTTCAATTGATATTTCATTTTTGAATTCCCCTATATCGCTAAAAATTCCTGGGAACTCTTTTCCTATTGAATCTAAACTTAACCTACACACATTTTCTGGACTTTTCTTAATATTAGTATCTAAACTAACATAATCAGTTATAAAGCAAACATTTTAAGTAGGAAAATTCAACACTTTAAACCGAATGATTGCGTTTCTGCCTAGAATAGGTTGTCTTAACTTACGCACTACATAGATAGTTTCCTTTTTTGTAATTCCAGCATATGTCAAATCCATCTTGATTCGACCAACTGTATTTAACTTGTGGTCGTCTGCTGTCCCAATAGGATCGCACGGTGTAATTTTGTATAAAACACCTCCTCGGAAGCATTTCAAATGGCAAGTAGTTTACATCAGCTCCGGTGTCCACAAAGAATGGGATTTTATACTCTCCATCTACTAAAATGTCTACGTACCATCTGTCCTGCTTGTCTAAGTATACCTGGCCGATGAAGTTTGCTTTTTGATTTTCACCTTTGGTTACTTGAGACACGATCTGCTCTTCTGGGTCCTTGGAGCTGTCTGAACTTTGACTGGTACCTTCGCACTCTACAGCACGAACCTTCTTCTTATGACTTTTGCACATGGCACTCCAGTGCCCACGTTTAGAGCACGAACGGCATACAGATGTCTTCGCTTAACATTTATCCTTGCCTTCACATTTAAACAAACCGCAGTAATCACACTTGGTATTGTCTTTGTTTGAGGATGTTTGATGCTTCTTGTTGTTTTCTCTGATTTTATTAAACTTTTTCTGGTTACTATGGCCTCGGTTATGCTTTACTGCACTAACTGACTGTTCCTGTCGGATTATTTTGTTCTGTGAACTTTGGAGTTCGGCCTTACTGCTGTAATCGCTTCTGTCAGTGTTAGCTTGTCTCGAAGTTGTAAACGCTCGCTAACCTTTATGTCGGCCACGCCTATCACAATGCTGTCTCTAATCAACTCATCTTTTAATATGCCGTACTCGCAGTGTTCAGCTAAAGCGTGTAAGCTTGTTATGAAACTCTCCACAGGTTCGCCAGATTTTTGAACTCTTGAGTTGAACTGGTACCTCTCAAATATAACATTTCTTTGAGGAATAAAATACTGATCGAATTTTGTCAATATTTCATTGTAGGTTTCGTTCGCATTCAAGTTTTTCTGCAGCAGAATTTCTTCAGCTTCGTTGCCCATCAAGTAAACCAGCATGTCCGTCTTTTCTGCGTAGGTTTTCTTGCTACAACCGCTCACCGACATATAACGTTCAAAACGTTTTCTCCATTATGCCCATTGCTGTGGTTGTGAAAAATTGAATTCCGAAGGCGCCTGGACATTCGCAAATATCTCGGGCTGCGCTCCTCCTGTAGTCTGACTAGTGCCTGAGTTTATGTTTGTGTCGCTTGTATTCGGCATCGTGGTGCCTGAAATAACCTGCCTTTCTCCCCCTTTTTAAAACTTGAGCACAGCTGCAACCTGCCGATCCTCGGATCGCGCGATATTTTACGTCAAGTGTTTTTTAGGTTAACTTTCTCCAAGTTGGGAAACGGGACTCGATCACTCACTTGTTCAACTTCTCAAAGTTTCACAAGGCACCGCTGCCACCATGTCGTGTTATTGTCTATAACATTTTAAAATAACATACTCCGAATATACGTTTTTAACACCTTTATTTCCGTGGCCTTCCACTAGCATGGCTACCATAGAAGAGAGTCCCCCGCGAACCATGGAATCTCTCTGGTTGCATCAGTTGCCTGATGGCACATATTCACTGACATGAGCGTCAGAACTGACAAACGTCAAAGTTCAAGGCGTGGGAAATATCCGTGGGAAACGAAACTGACGTGGTAAAGTGATGCTTCCCGCACTGTAGACCGGTTTATTATTAGGTATTTTACAGACGGGAGTAGAAAAAAATATTATTTGGTGAAAATCGCCACTATTAACTGTTGAGAATCAAATCTGTCTATCTGACATAACAGACTGATTTGGATTTGGAAAAGAAACTTGCATGAGAGTAGGAGTTCGAGAGTAGGAGTTAAGTCATTTTGAAAAAATTGTAATGTATCGGGATCCCGTAAGATTTTGGTCGAAGAAATAAGATAATTTGTTGTTCGACATCCTTGCCAAACATTTATTTTTTGTGGATGTTTTGTGATTTTCTTTCATTCATCGTGGATTAATTGTACTGCCATTCGTACAAATTTGTTTATTTGTCGTGTTATTTAAACTTACTGTTTAGTAATGAAGCCACGTTTCATTACAAAACAGTATCCAATGATAAAAAAAAAGATTTAAATTGCACGTTCCCATCATAATTTTGTAAACCTGTAGTCTGCTAGTGTTTAGCTCCTGCGCGGATGATAGTTTTGATCTTTTATTATGTGCAATACTGTTCGTTGCCGAACATGATTATTTGAAGCTACTTCAGAAGATGTACAATGGAAATTTCCCTTGTGTTCTGATCAGTTTTTGGACGTCCTGGTCTTAGACGATCTTTTACATTCTATATTTCTATAAATTTTCTCACAATTTTACTCGCAATAGATCTTGTAATGAATCTTTTTGGATATTTTGCCTTAAACAAATTACAAACCTCTTTTGCAGTACTCGTATTGTCTCCATGTCCAATAAAATTTCAATTCTATAATTTACTAATAGAAATGTAATTAAAAAAATTTAAGAACTTTTAAAGTAAAATTTCTGTTTTTTATTATTTTAATAAAGTAATAAGTAAGATTTAGGGTATGCCACATGAATTACGCGTAATTTAATATCGAATTTGAAAATGGATTAAAAAAAAAAATTGGTATCGACATCTACTTTTTACTGTAAAAAATGTACAAAAAAAATCGAATAAACGATTTTGAGATTAATGGGTTCCATATTTTAGGATTTTTAGTATATGCAATTTTGTACATGGTTTTCCACCAAAAATCAGCTCAACTTGTTAACTAACTAGTAAAAACCAAAAAAGTTAATAAAACTAAAACTTAGAAAAGGGCACTGCTGCTGGCCTGATTTTATTCCTAACCTAAAAGAGAGTAGGCAGAGACGATACTACATCAAATGTTTATCCTGAGGGATATTCCTAAACACCTTTTGAAAGTCGCAAAGGACAAAATACATATTTTTTAAATTTCACGGAAACTTTTCCAGTTTGCTATAATGCTGTCAGTAATTCTTAATTTCCATGTAGGTCATAGGTGCAGGGAAACTTTGTGCAATAAAATTAGTTGTGATCACTACTGTAAATCTGATACTAGTAAATAGAAAACAAAGCTATGCGGGAGATCACCACGAGAATATTAATTCGGATGTTTTTGAACACTATTTGGAATGGGTCAGCTAAGCTATCATTCACGACGCGTAGAAACGATCCCAACTTCATCTTGACACAGACATCGTTCATATAGCAGAAAAACATAGTATAACATTTAAAATAAAAGACCTAAAGCTACTGTTGGCAGTGACGCCACGGAAATGGCGAAAAGAAGTTAAGTTGAGATTAATTAACTAAAATAATTAAAATCACCTCACCATCCTCTTTAGATTAATGCCTCTCGGTTGACCTTCTAACTTTCCTCTGGCTATCAGAAGTCTCAAACCGTTGTGTTTTTCGAGAATATATGTTTTCTCTTTCGAAGTAACACCATAATCTTAAATTCATATACCAACCGGAGTGATTATATCTTTATAAGAGTAGGAATACTACCGTATACGCCTTGGTCGCATTCGCCCCAAACCCGGCGGAGCTTTGCCACCAGCATGAGAACCGTTAAAAAAAACCACTTCATAGTTTCAAGAGAACAAACACTTTAATAAACAATTGATGTTAATCACCTACTTATTTATACACTCACTCTTTTGCTTCATATTTGTGATATTTGAAATATACGTTTTTCTAACCAATTTTTGCTGATATGGTATTAAATATATGAATAACGAAAAACGAACGACGTTTTCAATATTTCGCAGATAAACCTTTATTTATTTGCGACTTTTTTCGCCCGTTTTACGCAAATAGAATATTAATTAATAATTTTAGTGGGTATAATCACCATTATTTGCGTCGGGCTCGGACAATTAATTTTATCTATTAGTTCAATTAGGTATTATTAGGGTTTTAAGGCAATTTTTGTCTTAGTTTAAAATGACATTTCCTTAATTGAAATAATAATGATATGATTGATATATTTAATTTCTTTCTCGCATTCTTTATCTAACTAAAACTAAGCAAGAATTTAACAAAAGCAAACGTTCAATATGGCGTTCCTAGTAAAAATGATAGTTGACTTCGGATGGAACATACCCAAAACGCATATTATTTTTGACATCATTTACAAAATCTATTTGCATTAATTTCTTAAAAAAAAATGAATATCATAAAATTGATATTAATAACGTTTCATAAACTTTTGCTTGATGGTTGTAGACAATGATTCAGTAGACGTATGTGTAGCTGTCATATATATCATAATTTTCAAACTTTACAACCATTTAATCAGGGTTAAGATATTCAAAAATACTATACACAGTCTGTCCCACTTCGGAACTGTACACCCTTGTAAAAGCTTTGTTTATGGTTCGATTTCGATGATTTTTCTTTGTTGGATAGATCTCTGAAAAATGCACTAAAACCTTGATACTATTTAACAAAAAAGAGAGAAGAGAGAAGTACAATTAGGGATTTAAATAATATATATATTGGCAACGAATTCTTATTTACGAGTACTTAGAACCCAACTATACCAATTTTTATGTTTCAATATTGGAAAGATAGCTTGTGCCCCTCTTAAGGCTGTACATCGTTGTAAAATCTTTGATTAGGTTTTGATTTCGATTTTTTTTGTTGGATAAATCGCTCAAAAACGCACAAAACCTTATGTTTTTTATTACATCAATCTGAAGTCACCTCTGGATCTAACTGGAACTAATTTTTGATGTCAAATATCTAGAAGAGCTATTAGAGATTTCTTTAAGAGTAAAGTGTCAACGAATTCTTATTCAGAACTACATAAAATTTAACTATACTAATTTCTATGAAGTTCGAATACAGGGTCCTCAAAATATCGCGGGCGCCTCGCTTAAGCATGGCTCTTGTAGAATGTATGTTTATGGCTCAATTTTGAGAATTCTTTTCTGCCGGATAGATTTTACTAAAGAGAAATGAAATGGTTTTTTCGTATCGGATCAACTAAAGTCGTGGCTAACTGACACAGTTTTTTTGAGGCGGAAAATCAAGAAGTACTTTTAGAGTTTTTTTCAGTATTTAAATTTCGAGCCCAGGCAACCAAACTGGGAATTATCCAAACACTCTGCAAAACAACGATCACAAAATGCAGTGATGAAACCACTCGATGTAGAATTAAGCAGCACAAAAAAGGTTATGCTTTATAATGGCTAAACTTAAAAATATATTGACAAACTAATTACAAATTGTGAAACTAAAGCAACAGCAGAACAATGTGAAATAGATTCTCTTTCTCTCTCAGACACAGAGATACATGTATGGACCAAACAACACAACATCAAATGGTCTGAAGCTCGGGTTTTTCATAGGGAACCGCATTGGAAAAAGTGCAAAAACAATAACAATGGAAACATCTTTAGCACTCCAGGCGTGGAAATACGTCCTAGCGGAATAACAAATTAACTCTTGACTGCACCCGACTGCGTCACAGGTGAAAGCTGTGGTCTAGTATATAAGCCTAGGTCTTAGAATCACAACTAGCCTGCACTTGCGGTAAACAAAAAAAAGGTCGACAATCTCTTCATATTTCTACCCAATAACTGACAAATTTTCCAAATGTTCGAGACAATATACAGGATGTTACATTTAAATTATTCAGATACAATACATTCAATTCAACAGTCGACCTGGCAACTTTTGAGAGATTAAATTTTTATTTTTATTTAGTTTTGTCAGTTTAGAAGTATGTATCGTAACAACTATTTCAGTTTTCATAATCTTATACTCAATGCTCAATGGTAAATTTTATGCCACACTTTATCCCCTATTATCTTAATGTAAGTATCGAATTAACAGTAATGCGGTTTCTCTTAAAAAGAGATAATTTAAAAAAGTAATAAATATTTATATTTTCTATTACGATTTAGCGATTTAGCAGTAGAATAACTTAAAAAAGTCATGTAATAGTGTTAATACATGGAATATATATACTATGATATGTAAGTTGAGTCTATCAATGTTCATTATTGCATCAGCAACTTTAATATATTGCCTTTGCAGATTGTTGCAGATTTAAGTGCCCAGGGGGTTTGGCCAATGTATAATTTTTGGTGATATGGGGAAAATACAAGTTTCAAGCTTTCAATGCGAAAATGTTGTTGAACATGTCAGGTGTGCCAAAGTTTGAAAGGATTGAACAAGTGTCTTGATGGCAGCGAAACAAGAGAGGGCACGAACTGAGTTAATTCTTACAATTGACGCTTCCTTATACGTAAATGTACAATGTACACATCACCATTTGGCCCAAAATTATCGGTTTTTAACTCCCTTGTTGTGAGCTGTGTAGAGTCACTGAACACAGAATTAAAACACCTGACATCTGCTCTTTTCTAAAATAATTTCCACATTAGAGATATTAAGCGTTCAAATCCATACTGTTGTTTTTTCTTACATACAAAGTATCCCTGACCATGTATCAAAATTTCATAAGAAATATAATGTTAACACGTGTCCAAAAATCTCTGAACGTTTTCGTCCGTCAAAGAAAAAATTTCGTTTGAAATATCAGAACTCTACAGCACTCTATGCTGCAAAGAATAGTTTGCAGTGACCGGACGAAAAATATCAACAAGGTTCAAAGAACAAGACTACGACAAATAAACTTATCAGCACTTGCCGAACATTATGATTAACACCGGACATCAAATCTTTTCGATAAAACTAAACTTCTTACAGATAATCATTTTCTTCTAACAAAGAAAAATCCGAGAATCTATAGAAATCTATCAAAAGCCCAATGTTTATGCGCCCCGCTCATACAATATATAAGCAGGTACAGAGTAGATTGCGACCTAGTTTCAGTTAAGCTCTGAGGAAACCAACCAATCGACGTCAGCAAGTTTGAGTTATAAACAGCCGACGCTGGGCGACTCCAGAAGATTTGTAAATAGTATCACTGTATCCTGTGAAAGTCTCTACGAAAAAATATTTGTATTGATGTGTTTAGTAATATATTATGCCACAAGAGTGGTAAACAACCGACGCATAAGGAATTTAGAAGATTTGTAAATAATAAATACAAATATTAAATGTATTTAATTGCCAATACAATTTAGTGGTACGAAAGTATAAGGAATAAGTTTTTAGTCGCTGCGATTCGAGATTCTAAAAAGCAATTACGTAAATCTTGGTTAGCTAGCACCTCTAATTTTATATGAGAAAAAAATAAATGAAATAAAAGAAGTAGTATTAATATACTTACTCTAAAATGAGTCAAAAAATTCGAAACAGCTTTCGGTGATTCATTGTAAGTTTTATCCAACCAACACATACCATCTTGTTATGACATTATTTTCAAAACAGGATATAACTTGCGAAATATCTCTTCAAGTATTTATTATTGTATTATAATTATTATTTCCCGAAAGTAATTTTAGATCCAAAGCAGAATTCTGCCTAACCTACCTAGTACGGCCTAGTATACTAAATTACTACATAATAGTATTCAAAATTCTGGGGACATTTGTATTTAAATTACATTTAAAATACAAAATAAATATATTTAAATTCGTAAATAGGGTCGATGTATTTCAAATATACATATTTAAATACATGCATATATGCGGCAACGTGGCAATGCTGGGGCAATTATTATTAACTTAAACGTAATCAGAACTCCCCTGCTTGGAATGTTTGGGAAGACTGAACAAATGAAATAACTCCCAATACACAAGATGCCAAAAAGAGGGGCTTGTCCTGCTTCCGAACATTCGTTTCATGGTTTTTTTTCAATATTGTGTGCAAAGATTTCGTTAGTTTGCCGTTGCACATAGTGAAATCGCGCTCCCGCATTACGTTAAGTGCGTATTATCCAAAACGATTGTACTGTATTTTTATTTGTTAACCCGAGTCAGATCATGTTGGCAAAAATTGCATCACGACAGTAAATTTCTTGGCAAACCTTTTGGTTTTTCATCAAGCTCATATGTTGTTATTGCACCAACAATAATAAGACAAAAGAACACTGCATTATTTTAAAATCAAACATATGCAAAAACCTTTATTGGACAACAAATACAAATTTCATTCAGAATCACTCTCAATAAGAACACGGCTTCGTTTCATTGTGCGTTTTCCGGAATCAGAATCCGAAGGTGAACGAATTCTCTTGGTTTTGTCCCCAGTTTGTTCTTCTTCCTCATCGTCACTATCCAATGGGTTTCTCGACGGTCTTGTAGAAGTTGCATGGTTTGAATCATTATTCTTCTGTTCCATTTCACCATTTGTGCTGATGTCTCTGTCTTCCCTTACTTCAGTGATATTCACCTCATGATCTTCGACTTCATTGTCACCTTCAGAATCAGTTTCTAAGACAAAACTCTTTTTCTGTTGGTTCGCAGCCGGCTTGGATGCAATTGGGGTTGGGGATTTTGGCTTGGTCATAGCCCTGAGCTTTTGGAAGACGTCTTCGTCGCTAGATTTATCATTTTGAATTTCATTTGCAGGTTCTAAGTGTCCTTCCTCAGTCAATGTCCTATCGATGGCTTGCTGAATTAGATCGCAATAACTCTGCAATATTTGAAGCGGTAATTCGCCCGGAATTCTCCAATATTTTTCCTGAAATAACAATATTATTTATAATTATTTTAGGGATTCACAAGCGCAGAGAGAGAAGAAAACTACAGAGAAATAATTTTCGTGCCAAGATCCATAAGGAGATGTGTGAGATTTAAAGCAACATTCTGATTCAGTAGTTGCAAGATTTCAGATGAATATAAAGCGAATTGTAAGACGACATTACCGACAAAATCGATAAATCCTGCTTCTCCATTTTAGTTTGAGCTATAATAGAATAGATGGAGTCCCATGTCCGATTTAAAAGAAACTTGTCTTACACATGGACGTATTATTTAAAAGTAAGAAACATGATCGGCTTATAGTAAGTTTATAAGTGGTAGATCGGGGGCAGATAGACGAAAATGCCATTCCTTGAGGTCGAAGGTGTGAATTTAGACAACAAAGCAAAGCAAAAGCAAATCAACAAAAACAAATGCAATCAACAAAACAAAAAAAATTACTTATATTGAGGTCGCGGTCTACTTTTTTTCTAAAGATTTGATTTCCGATTTGGTGGTTTCAAATATTAAAATTAAAACTATTGACCCAAAATTAAAAATAACGAAGCTTCCACAATTTTTCAAGGGCTTGAGCAAGAAAAGCGGCATTGTGTTATTGTTAATATAAGAAGAACTTCTCATACATTTTCTAAGATGACAACAAAGGCTGTTTGAGAGGAAACAAATCATGGAAAGACTTAATTAGCAAATTGTAGGAAATTTACAGCCAGTTTTTCTCGTTGCTTTTACGTTGTAAATGAATATAAGTAACCGACACTTGGATTTGGAAGCGTAACATATTTGTTAAGATACGATAGTCCACTACTGCCTGGGAGTAAAATACTTTCGAAGATGAATGTATACATTTTATCATGCATTGCGAACTTAACTTTCTATTACTGTGTGCCTTGTTCCCTTGTTACACTACGGTGAACTTTAAACCTTTATAATTGAGCGTCCGCTTGAAACGTTGAGTTCAAACTTAACTACTTTCAAACTGACTTTGTGCTTACAGAAAATGAACCTGATTAGAAGACGGCAACTTTGATTTTATGTTCCGTCCATGAAATTGTACAGAGTCTAACATACAGTACCTCATTATAGGTATCGTGGCTAAAGAAGTGGTAAGTCTGCAGTACAACTGTTCCAAGCTGACAACAAAACAATTATTCAACATGGTAGCCACCATGATAACAATCATCGTTGAATAGTCATGGCACCAGAGAAAGAAGATTTAGAGATCTCATATTCCCACCCCTGCCATAAGATGAAACTGTTTGAAAAATCATTTACCTACGAATTAAAATAAGCATCTCTTATAGGCGTCGACTTATCTGAAATATGGCGTAGTGTTCACTGGTATATTATATATGGTACATTAATTTTCTAGTTCTTCTATTCCATGAATTATGAAGATCAGTACTTTACAGTCTTTTCTAAAACTGGACAAAATGAAGTCTAAATAATGTTGAAAACTACCTGTTTTGTAAGTTGTTTATAAAAATATTATCCTGAAAAATAATCATCACAGAATAAACTAATTCTTAATATGTGCTCAAATAATTGCTTTTGGAAAAAGAAAACAATTTAAATTTACACCTTGTGTGAAATGGTATCCGTCTAGTAGAATAAAAATTACATATTAATTTTTAATTATTAATTTACTGAAAAAAAATTGCTTTTCATAATCTTTTTATCTTTTAACCCACCCCGTAGTAAAGCTCAACAAAAAGAATTTTTTACACAAACCTACTGGATCTTGTTTAATTCTAGAACACTTTGACATCCAATATCACAGAACATAAATATACAAACTTAATATTATTCGAACATTTTTAAACATTTAACTAGTATTCATAGCATACTAAAAATTCATTCAATTGGTCCATTTTTTCATGTATTTCGTGGAAAATTTCCCCTTTTCGTTGACTAGAATCATTTTGTGAATCTCAATTTATCCTATGGCGTAGCTTTGAAGAGTGGAGAGGAGTTAGCAATGATGCAGAAGATTGCATTACAACCTTTTTTGGAACACTGCTGACAAAGCAAAAACGCCACTTCCAGCAAGTGACCGAAGCTATTAAAGAAATGGCGTTAAGGTAGAAGGGTAAGGAGGTCGTAGCGTGAAAAAACGCAATAGACAGTGCTGCAAAAATAAGTGGGGTAATACGATTTACCCGTTAAACCTATCAAAACCGATCAGAATGTTCACGCCTCAAAAATGTTGAAGGAAAAATATATCCGCGTAGAAATCGGCTTTGCTCGACACAGGGGGTTTAATCCTTGCGCTCGACTAGAGGAATAATCTCACCTGTTCGTCAAAGGGCTCGCGGATCCCGAATGCTTTCAGCATCCTCCGAAACTCGTCGTTCTCCATAGCGGATTCTGCATAATCCATTAAAGGCACTAATGGAATACCTTCGTTATTTCCTTCCTCGTAATCTTCCACGGCGTCTGATAAACTGTCCCTTAACCACGCGAGCGCCTCTTCCATTTCTACGGGAGACGATGCTAATTTATTTAATGCATTTTAATAAGAAATAGTTTATAAATTTATAGCCGAGTTGCTCGAACATATTTAACACCGAGCGGACGGTGATTCGTGCTTTTGTTTGCGCAGACATTCAGAGTCTTACTTAGTTCATACGAGATTTGGTTGTACCTGTGCAGGAATATTAAGTACACAGGCTATTAGATATACACGGTTTCCCAATTTCGATGGCCTATTAGAAATATATGGAGAATGGATAAAGATAGACCAATAAAAAGTGGGGTGCGTTAATATAATTTCAATTTTTAAAATATTGGCGACATTGCCTCGTTGCCACGCTTATTCAACTATTTTAATTAAGATTAATTCCTAAACAGAATAAAAAAACTGCCAATTTAAATTATAAAATCTAGAAAACTTCTCGGTTCTCATAACAAAGGTATCGAAAATACGTTTGGAACAAGGCATTTCACTTAACCACACACCAACTCATTTTTTTTAAATTACCTACCTAGGACATTATGTAAAATACATTACAGCTTTCTGAAGCTATTTTGGAGAGAGAAAATTAGGAGTGAATTTGAAATAGAGCCCTCTCTATTTTATTCTACATATTTTGAAACGTTTTGGAGTTAAAAGCAAAAAACTATTCCTAATTTCGATATATAGTGTGATAATGTGAGAATTTAAGATTCCAATATTTTGGATATCTAAATATAGAGAGATAGTAGATAGTAGATAGTAAATAGTGAAATTTGGAGTTTATTCATTATTTTGGTCAAAACTTACACAAAATTTTTCTTTTATTCGATAATAATTTGACACTGGTGAAATCACTAATGTCAATCATATTAAACTTTCATTTTATTACATTGAGTTCTTTTTAGTGATCACCGTATTAAAGTGGAGTTGACGTTAAACGAAAATATCGAAATAATCCGATCGTTTGATGATTTTGCTCGTAGTAGCAGAAAAGTTGCTGCGAAATTTAGCAGAACACATCCGCAACGTGCTCCCATTACACAAACTTGTTCCATAAAAAAAAAGTGATGGGAATAAAAAACTAAATTAATACTATTGCGAATTTTTTAAATGACACGCATTATCTTTACCGTTACCGCTACATTCACCACCTTCACCTGTAATGGAACTGTACAATAGCAAAATTGTAGATACTGGATCAGAAGTAGTCCCTATAAATTGTAAAGATCAATATTCCCAGAACGTCGATGTCAAATAATAGGTCTTGTTTCTCTTCTCTCTCTCATTGTGCGGCAAGTATTTTCAGCCAGCTGATTGTTCGTCAGTTGTGAAATCAAAAATTTTCTTTGCGCTCCATAGGAACAAACAGTCCTTTTGTACCTTGTGTACTCCGAGGTGCACTGATATTACAAAACTAGATTTTTATTTTTGGGGAGTGATAAAAAATAAAGTTTATAAAACAAGGGCGACAAAATCGAGATAAGCTGGGTGCCAGAATAAGAGAAGCCACTAAAGAAATTAGCATCCCAGAACACAGACAAATATCCAGACAAAATCTTACAAGAATTAAAAAATGTATTCGAATAAACGGAGTTGATGGAGATCACATTTGATAAATTGTTATTTGTAAAAATAAAATAATTATTCTTTTGTGTTAGTGTTATTTATTTTTGTAAAGAATTTGAATTACACTGTCATTGTAGAGATTTCCCTTTTCATGGTACAGTAATTTATCAAATAAAAAAATCAACTAATAATAATTTTGTGCAGGTATAACTTTTTCAGATATCTCTAACGCGAAGCAAAATACTCTGTTTGTAGAACGGCAGTAGGCCGCGCTTAAAATTTCAATTTGATATCTTAAAAAATGCCAACCATCAACTTGTTATGACTGTACAAAACTTCAAATCTGTATTTATTCAGAAAATCACAAAATGTATTCATCTTAAATATGGGAAATGCCCATTGTCTCCATAAAGTCATATATGCCTACTTCATAAAAAGTAAGACATAAAGAGAGACAGTTTAGAGCTTTTTATGTAATACACATATACATAAAACGAACGTTTTTCACAACTTAAAATACAAGAAAATAAAGCGTTTTTAAAAATTAGTTCAAACTTAAGTCCAGTGAAGTTAAGGCAAGCAATTTTTTTTGTCGCACCTTACTTAATTTATGAGAAAAAAAATATAAACCATTTTATTGCATGTCCTTTGGGATAATTTTTTTTTTTCGGAAGAAATAATAGGATTTATGAAAAATATAGAAACTTTATAACTTGAAAGTAATCAATTCAAAAAAAATTAAATTTCAGGACGCTTTGGTTAATACTTGTTTTAATGTGCGATAAAAATATTTATCAACATACATGTCATAAGTGTGTTAGAGGACCTTACTTACTTTCTTAGTTTAAAAGTAGAAAATTTCATGGTACAAACGATTACCACGAATTACAAATGGTTACAAATAATAATATATCATCAAAAAAATTTAATTAATCAAGATATCTGAGAAATTATTCAGATTAAGGATAGGGAAATCTGAAGGAAGAAACCACAAAATTTTCTCACAAAACCAAAAATAAAATAAGATACAGGGCGCTCAATGTAAATTAAGGCAATTTGGTGATGTGAGATACTTATGAGAGATCATGTATAATATCTACTACTTTTAGTGCATACAACACATCCGCACTCATAACTTTTGGATACACAATTTTTCAATAAAATAAATTCAGCATTAGTTAGGTACTCTCAAACGAAAGACGAATGCAGTTTTACCTATGCTCATATCAACGACTTTTAGCAGTAGATGAATGATCTGAGCCCTCGGAACTGCCACTACTGGTATTCTTTTCTTTAGATTTTTCCCAACCAAAGCTTTTGTTCTGGTGTCCTTCTTTTTTGTAGCGCGCTTGTTCTGGTTAGATGAAGTTATGCCTGGAGATGAGCTCCTGATCGAATCTGCTTCGGAAATATCCGATTCGTTCTCCGATTGACTTTGTCCGGTAGCTGGAAGATAAGCATTACAATAAGGACAAGTTCATTATTTTAATTGCGATATAAACAGATCACAATGAGAAACAAGTAAAGAAATAATTATAAAACTGCTTAATACTTGAAAGAAAACGGGTTAAACCGCACGAGACAAGTCGGGTGACGTTTTTAATTTACGTATATTCCATTATGTTAACGGCTTGGGAAAGAAGGTTATATAAACTTTATGGGGTTTTCAAGTCGCAGTTAATAATGTCATTTCAATTAGGTTTCAATTTTCTGTTAAGTTTAAGTTTCTAGAAACCTGAACGACAAAAAATCTGAATATATTTCCACCAATTATTTGCTTACGTGATCCACGATGTACATCGTGGATCACGTAAGATGACCGACTACGCTATCCAAGAAATAGAAGATCTATAAAAAAAAAGTTTAACACAAAAGTTTCTTGTATTTCTAAAAACAGCTATAGCGAGATCATTTTTTATATCTTTCTACGATTTTGCGGGCTGCTAGGCCGTAGTGTGTTGGTTTTCAGCTACTACTGCTAAAACAATAAAATGTCCAACGGATTCGCACCGAATAGGTGGCTTAAACAAGAATGCTGCATGTCACCCACTTTGTTTAAGATATAACTTGAAAAACATGGAAAAAAAAATGCGAAAGGATGAGCATCCCACTGAACAACGCAAACCTATATACCCTGAGTTTTGAAGACAATCAGATTAAAATATCCGCGGAATACAAGACCTTGCTCTAGTAGACGGACGGGACATAAAATCTTGCCAAGAGGTGAGAATCAATATATCAGATAGTGGAACCCAAGACTGCGCAATTAGAGACCGGAAAACTCAAGGCATGGCTATTACCATGCTAAACAGCATGGGAGCAAAAAATCTCAAGATGAAACAATCATTAAATAAATAATTCCATTATAAAAAGCATAGTCACATATAGTTGTAAAGTTTGGAAACTCAGAGAAAAGATAATGAGAACACTGGAGGCAACAGAGATGGATTTCTGGAGGAAAGAGGTAGGAAAATCGAGACTCGAAAGAACCCCAAACGAAATATTATATGACACAGTGTTAATCGTGAGGATTAAGTTCGAATACCAAAACTGAAGAAAATCTTTTGGGGAGATAGGCTATTCTACTACGCCGAGCTTTCGGAAACGTTTATTTCCTTTTCCATAATTAAATAAAATAAAAAATTTACTTACTTTGCAGGTTGAGTTTAAAATTTGGGAAAAAGAGGCGGCATTAGTTTTGCTTCAAGTTACTTAATGTTTATAATTTGCAATCGATTATTGCGGCTACATTTTTATTAATTTTTAACCCAACTGATTTTCTGCAAACCATGCAGACGCTCGCTGACGACACGAGAGGAGAAAAAACGCAACAAAAATAGTTTGGAAGTCGATGTTATTTTATGTGGTAGGAAATTTTGCAAATACCAGGTGACACCAAAACAATTTATACCCGGATTATTGAGAGTATCTTTAGTGACGTTATCTTCAGTTCTATTCGTTTTTTTGGGTTAGGGAGAGTAAGTATGAGTACCTATGCGCTAGGTGCAGTGTGTGATGTTTTATGATCATTGCATCTACGTCAAAGGTTGTCTGAAACGACTCAAGGAGTAATCTTTTTTTGTAATTCGATTCGGTGGCACAAATTTTGGTTTCGTTGAAGTTTGGATGATGTCCATTATGTATGCTATGCTCAGTCAACACACACGATCTTTTTTATATCCTAATATCACTCTTATATGTAGTCAATCTATCTTTTAGAACCCTTCTTAAAAATATATGTGGATGATATCATATGTGCAATTCCCAAAAATGCAGCAAAAGACACTTTGGATGTTTTTAATGGCTAAAACCGTCACATTCAGTTTACCATGGAGGCGGAGACTGACAACAGTGTTCCCTTCTTGGACCCGAAACTGATTAGAAGTGATACGAATACCGTCATATACTGGCGTTTTGAAATTCCATTGTCTAAAAATATGTTTAACGCGACGTTTCGGCTAGAAAGTATCACTAGTCATTATCAAGTGATGTCAACGACATATGAATAATATATGATATATCGAACTGTTATAGCGTGAGTTTTTTATTTTATATTTTTCAAATTTTGTTGCCCCAGTGAAGATCAAAATTCGTGTTTCTCTAAGGAACTTCTATTGTCCAAAAACGTTTTCACTTGATACCAACTAGTGATACTTCCTAGCCGAAACGTCGTGTCAAAAACGTTTTCAGACAACAGTCAGACGAAAGGCCAGTATTGACCTTTAGAAAAACACGAATTTTTATCTTCCATTAACCAACAAAATAAAACACTCTCGCTATGTATATCATATGTTATCATATATCGTTGAACTCGTCTTGACGTGCAGTCTTCCAATGTGGATCAATATACAGGGTGACCCATCCAAAATAAAGAAGAAAACACAAAAACAACAGAAACTAACCACTATGTATACATAAAAGCAATATATTTGAGAATTTTAAATTAAAACAAGACACGTACACATTAAACATTGTTGTAGATCTTTCCGTTTTCCAGACCCGCTAGTGAAACAAGCCAGTACATGATATAAGGTATCTTATCTCAAAAACTAATCAGTTTTAGATTTTCATTATGATAACCGCCATCTTAAATTATTATTTTTCTTTGACATCCTTCTAATAAATATACCGAAATATGCTAAAAAAGCTTAAGCTACATTCGAGTAATTTTTATTTAATACTTTCGAGGTATATGTTAAAATAAAGCAATAGGTGTCATTCAATATTCTTTTTTTTATTATTATCAATGGCTGTAACTTCTAAATGATTGATTGATTGAGCGCCTTAATAAAAAAGCATTTATTAAACCCATTTTATGTATTAGTGCGTGATTCTCAACCATGAGAGAGCTAGAGCGCGGTTTTTGAAATAGTAACAAAAGTTTTTTTAAAGGAATAATTGATACAATACAATACATCATAATACACAATACATCATAAGCGAAAACAGAACATTTTGACGCACCGAGTACTGTAGGCTCATACATTCTGTGACGACATTTAACTTTTTAAAGAACGTCCTTTCTTCTGCTGATCTTTTCTGACGGACACTAAAGCGGTTTAAAAACCTGTAGGAATATTGATAAGCCCTTTCCAACACAGATTAGTGGACCTATTATTTCGGGATTTGGCGGCATTTTCTGCTTTGGAACAAGCAAGGTATTAAGTATCCCGTTACGATGTACATTATTTTGCCTTTTCTCGAAGACACTTGACACGGATTCTCGAGAACAAGGAGAGCAAAATCTCTTTCCCAATATGTGGCACCAACCACCCTATTGCAGTTTTTCGCTCATTTATCTATTATACAATGTCACCACTAAATGCAGCATCATATGCGACCATTTTTTTTTTGGCAAGTTTAGTTCGTGAGGATAGTTTGTGCATTAAACAAAAAATACGGAAATTGCAAAAATATTTTCTAAAATTGTCAGTTTTTATAAAAATATTCAAAAACTAAGTTATTTCTCAAAAATCAAACTTTATTTTATCTGATTTGTTAAAGAAACTTCCATATGCTACTGTAAAACTATTTAAATCTTCTGGATTTTTCCTGCGTCGGTTGTTGATAAATCAAATTTGCTGACGTTTCGCCAATCATCCTATTGGCTTCTAGCTCGCATTCTACTGTACTCCCGCATTCGCCATATATTTAATTATGTTTTGTGGTTTGTATACATATTGTTAAATGCAGTTTATGTAGCTTATGTTGGCACCATTGTATGTAGAATATTGTATTTAATCTTCGACGAAAGGGCTGTGGCCCTCTCTTCAAGTTGTCATCAATCAAGATATTAAAGTTATACAAACGTAACACGTATTGATAAAATACCGCCACGGCAGAACTCTACACTACCCTGTTCCCTGTACATACTATTTGAGGAGGGCGGAGCTAAGGGAGGAGCATGAACATGACTGATCCTCGAATGACTTATCCTATATAGGTGAGTCGCGGTTAAGATTATTCGATTGCTTACAGAATTCCATGGATTCTCGGATTTTTCTTTGGTAGAAGAATTGATTGATATGTCGTAAATGATGAATGTAAGGAAAGACAACAGTAGCAAGTGTGGGACTGTATTTGGAAGGTTGTGGTTAAGTGTATTTTGCGATGGAATGCTTGATATCTCTAATGTGGAAATTATTAAAGAGAAAAGCAAATGTAAGGTGTTTTAATTCTGTTTTCAGTGACGCAGGTTAAGATAGTTTAAAGACTCTGTCAACAAAAGAGTTAATAACCGTTTATTTTTGGACCTGATGGTAAGTGACAAGGCACTCAGGTTTCGGTCTGTGTGCGTAGAATGATCCGACGTAAGGTTTGATTTTTTAAATAATTCTTGAACATGAAGCGAAATAATAAATGTATCATCAACGTAGCATTTCCATAATTTTGGGTTTAAGTGGACGGTGTCCAGGGCTTTCTTCTCAACAGTTTTAATAAATATATTCGCAATGACACTGTTGATAATAGAGAACTCATAGCTGTGCCTGACGTGTGTTCATAAATTTGACTATTACAAGAAAACTACATTCCTGACAAGCATTTTTCTAATAAGATGAGAAAATTTGGTTCCGGATTCTAAGATTTTAATACATCTGAAATATTGTTAAGAGTTTCAGAAAAAGAGACTAAACTAACCAGAATATGGTTTGGATATAATGTAATGGTTTTTAATTGTTCAATGAAATGAAAGAAATTAAGTATGAAACTGTCAGTTTTCCCTGTAAACGGTTTTAATATTGAAGCTAGATACTTTAGTAGAGAATATGTTTTGGAACCAATAGTGCTGACAATATGTCAAAGAGGTAATCTTGGTTTGTGAATCTCAGAGAGTTCGTGAAGACGAGAATAATGAGGGGTGAGTGACTTTTTCGCGAATTCTGATAGACAAGAAACCCCAATAAAAAATTTAAGGTTGCGTTCCATAAGTGGCATAAGTATGAAAAGTAAGTTTGATGATAAATTGTCACAGATGTTTCTTCAACCTAGATTATGGTTTACTGAAATTGCAATTAATCCACATGCCAATTTAAAGGACATTTTTGCAATGTTTCTTCAAAACAATCCTAGGTAAATCTCTCTTCCAGGTTTTTCTTTTATTAACTTTTTCTCCTTGATCCAAAGCGTTAATAATACTAGTTTACTAAGTTTAAAGACTAGAAAACTATACCATGGCCGAAGGAAATGAAATGTTCGAGTAGTTTTACAGCATTTTAATGCTCGAAAATTGTAAATTCTAAATTAAGTACGTTCGTGTAGTCAGTTTAACATTGATATATTATTACATCCTCCAAAAATATAAATATCATCAGTCAAAAATCGGTTGGTCTATGACGTCAGTCTAACGTCGCCATTAAACCCATTTATCATTTCACGTATCATTAATGTATAAATTGGCGTTAGCACTCAACTTATATTAAAGTAATCCAAATGGTAACAAATGTTATGATTCAGAAGAATGCTACTTGGGGTACACATACATATACATACATATACAAGATATATTAAATAAACGAACAGTTCAAGTCCTCTTATGTAATAACACTTCTTTTCTTTCAAATAGATTCGGCATCATTACGAAATTATGAAATTCGTTAATAAATATTGTACAACAAATTTTCCTTGAAACTGATTTTTGACGGTCCGTATTTTCCATTGTCCCAAATTAATCCCATCGCATGGCAAAACAATTGACTTATTAATCACTTTTCACAATCGGGCAGGTATGCTCGGTCGTTCTCGTGCGAACGCTAAAATCGCGCCAGCACCGGCTGCATATTCGCAGGACAGAATATTGCCACGACTGACTGGTTCTGCATTTTAACGCAGCAGACCGTAATTTTTCATTTATTACTGAATAAAATTTTAATTAGTTTGTCAATTTTTAACTGTGCCTGTTACAACATACTACCGAAACGTGGACCGGTGGTAATAGTTGACGTCCGTTTATTTTTTAATGTCAGCAGGCTGTTATGAAAACGTTTCGGGAATATTCGAAACGGCCACGAATTTTGTCTAAATGTTTTTGATAGAAACGTTTTGTATAACAGCGCCCGATTTGTTAACAAGTGTTCGCAGTTATTAATTGTCTTACTTCAGTGTGGAATTTTCATTTACCTTAATATATCCTCTACTGGCCTCTATCATTTAACAAAGTTCTTCCATTAACAACAGTGTAAAAAATTTAAGATATTTCATTTAAACGTGAAAACTCCAATACAAAAAAACTACTGTAAATTAAGACAATTGTATCAAGACAAAGAATTCATGATGACATTGAATGGTCCGAGTTACTGTAATTCGGCTTATTGACCTGTACTCTTGATACGGGCTTGCAGACAATCCAAAAGTCCTGCATTCGATTTAATTGTAACTTAAAGAAGTTAGAACATAGACCTGAGAGCTTCACTCGTGGTCACTGCCTTAACCTCAAAGGGCAAAACTGTTCAACCACCTATCGGTCAGTAGTAGGAAATTACCATTTATATTATATATTTATATTCGATCATATTCTGAAGGAGGTTCTTTCAATAATGTAATTAGTATTAGTAACATACCGCCATGGAAACATAACAATTTCTTCGAATATGAGGTGGAAAAAGCTTTTAAAATAATTGACCCTAGACATCCGATTTAATTCCGGCTTTCCTTATACATAATTGTCGTTGCCTGGACTAAATGGCCATGATTACCATTATTTAATGACTTCTTTCTAAATTTCAAAATTTTGAATTACATGTCCATCAACAAAGATATATATATATATATATATATATATATATATATATATATATATATATATATATATATATATATATATATATATATATATATATATATATATATATATACTCTTTGCATGGGTTCTTGGGGCAAATGTCGTTGATTTTGTTTCGGGTGCGTTTTCTAACGAAATGTGCATGGATAGTGTACTGCTCTAATTCTGTGACAAAAATGTTGGGCCACATTTCCAAAGTGTCGGAAAGACGACTGAGATTATTGAAATGAAAATTAGCAACTAAATTTGTCATTAAAAATTGAAAAATATATTTTTTTATATTGAAAAATGTGCTGCCCCAGATGAAAATTTTGACATGAGATTCGGAAGAGTCTTAGCAATCCCTCTTCAAAAGCTGAACTGCCCCAGAAGAAACGTAGTTAGCGGAAATAGAAGACTAACAAAAATCAAAAATACATCGAAAAGTTGGTGTTGCGCAATAAAATTTGTAGAGGATATTTGGATGCGCTTAAAAAAGTCCACAATTTTTGATTTAAAGAATTTGTCTTCTATTTTTTTTTCTTAAATTCGCATTCATATTACCTTCGACTTCAGCTCAAAGGTAATGCCTTTAGGAGGACGTTTCTACGATAACAAATGTATAATACCGATTCTTAGATGTATCTCACTTTCACAAAGTTATAAAATAAGCGACAATGATAACATTGAGCGTTAAGCTTTTGAGGGCGCTTTTTTATGAATTGCCCTCGCAAAAATTTTTTTTTCCAACAGTTACAGTCCTGTGTTTCACTTTGTAACAGTCTGTACATGGTTTTAATACGTTATTGTAAAATGGTGTTTGTAAATAACAAATAGAATTATTAAATTAATTCGAAAATATATGATTATGGAAAAAGTGGAAAAATTGTCATTAAGCATAATTTTTCGTGTTTGATATTGAAACAAATTGAAACTGTTTTCAGTTAAAAATAATAACTAAACAGCAATTTTTCTATCGCCAAAATCTATTAGATGCCTCATTAGACGCTCTCAATCTACAGAGTTATAAATTTGCTAAACAACACTTCTTCGTCGTATTGACATTTGCATTTCTGGATAGTTCACGTCACAAGTTGGGATTATTCGATATAATAAACTACACCGTCTGATGCAAAGAAATACAAAAATTACTTATACTAGCAAGTACTCTAAACCAGCATTGAATGACAGAATTCCATTGGTTTATATGGTCTCTTTATGAGTTGATATTTGCTACGCAACCGTATATCGATTTCTTAAGAGAATATGAAATAACGAACAGATTTTACTGGCCTCGGATTTCATAGAAAAGTTTGATTTAATTTCACAAGGACCGATAGAACCTTCAAAACGTTCGGCTTATTATTTTTGTGACTCTTTCTGACCCTGAAGACATGAGATAAAATAACAAGATTGGACCTTGTTAAAAGCAAAACGTATACGGTACGCAATCTCTCAAAACAGAGAATATATTTTCCACTGGTTTGTTTGTTTCGCCTAAGAACAAAATTCTAAAATCTTCATTCAATGTCTAACGCTACGGGCCAATTCTGGTCCATAATAAAAATAAGACACTCTCTCGTTACGTAGCCGGTTGCCATGACCGTTTATCCGATTCCGCTTCTTATTTCTGACGAAATTGTAAGCCCCGAAGAAAATATAAAAACGCTCAATTCTAAATAGAATTTAATTAAATCGGAGCAACTGTCTCCTTGACTTACCCCCAAAGAAGCAAGCAAAAAATGTCTAATTAGGTGGTGAGATTTTTTTGAAACACGAGTAAACGCTCGGCTGGAGGATCCTTAGGCCAGAAATATATTTAAAAATTCATCTGAACGTAGGCCCTGTGTTCAATATAAAGCTAAAACAGTTGTGCGAAAATAATTACGTCATTGTGACCAAATGGTGGAATAGTGGAAGCAAAATTAATCTTGGCTTTGCAAAATTTCAACAAAATCCGTTATCTTTTAAAAATATGTAACACCCCTTATCTCTTTAAAACTAAGCATTAGCGGGTCTCCATTTATACGAAATTTTTAAAATATTTTTTGACTAATGAACCATTAGTCGATCATTGCCGCATGATTTTTTAAATAATCTGTATACATACGGGGAGTAATGTTCAGCAATACAAAATGTTGTTGGTAAAGGTGCATGTTTACAATGCTGAAGGTCTTCTTCATTCCATCGCCTTCTACCCCAGCATGTGTACGAGGTATTTCATTAATAACGAGGGATTTTTTTTTGCTCACAAAATAGAAAATATCCTCTTGTAAACGTAATTGCAGCTATTTTTTAATTTCTCTGATACCAATTGTAAATGTTGTTTCAGTAGAACAGCAGAATATTGAAAAAGTTTCTACCGCTGTATCTTCTTAGTGAAGTGTTTTATAAAAAAGTTCTTTGGAAAGATCTCCCCTAAAGTTCGCCAAATATTACAATTATTATATTACAATCTTTTGGCGTAAAATTGTCCTTGACAAAAAAAGTTCCAGGTTTATATTGTTAAATGCCAATTTTTGAAAAAAAATCTAAAATGGCAAAATATATCGTTATGCGGGTTCACGTTTTAGTCGGTTTCGATGAAAATTGAGCCGCATATCCTGTGGAAAGAGGATATTTCTCTAAAACGTGGAGAAATTTGGTCCACAATAGATCTCCTAAGGGCATGACGTGAATAAAAATCTATTTAAGTTACATTTCAATTAAGTAAGAAAAATAAAACTATACAAATTAATACAGGCGAGATTAAAATTGAAGTCAACCGGTAGTGATTTAATAACGCAATTTTTATTTGGGTCCTTTTAGTTGTTACTTTGTAGTAGAGCTCTCTATACCACCAGGTAGGTTTCCTTTTCTTTAAATGTACAAACAAAATAAATAAAACATTTTTCGGAGTCTTTCTTTTTCTACACCACATGGTTTCATAATTTCGTCCATGTGGATCAATTTTCTGTCATAAACATGTTATAGTATACCAGATTACATCTGTAGAGAAGCCTTGATGTAACGTTGTTGTATACTTCTGACAGATCACTGCAAGATATGTTGTAGTGCCAGACATTCCCTACGGGAGTATTATTACTTATTAATATAGGGTAAATTTTTTACTTTTGGAGTCATAAATCTCAGTATTTTGTTCACATCAGTAAGTTGACATCACTTATGAGATAGACCTTAAAGTAATAATCAAGCAGTAATTTGAACTTGAAGTCACTGATCTTAACTGGCTATATTGGTTGTTGGTTCCTGGACACCAAAAAGAAAAAAAAACGAAAAAAAGTTAGTATCCCTCCAACCAAGTGGTTATGTAATACCTCTTTCCCTAATTTCCTTTCATTCCTTTTCCGTAATGAGTTCCATTCTTCCAGATTTTTTACTGCTTACTTCGCCACAGTCGCTATTTCAAGTTTTCCGTGCCTTTCTAAGCTTACATCCTTCAATTCAAGCGTGTTTAAATTAAACCATCTTCTCGAAAATTCCTCGAGAGACAGCGACACTTTGTCTTTTTTCGCATGACACATTCATTCACAACAAACAATCAAAGGAAGCCCTACGTTTTCCCGAGATAAATTGTCCGAAATGTCCGTGGAAGGGCCGCCATTGCAAGACGGTCTTTTTCATACCGCTTATTTTGCCTTTTTTTCTCATTCGGTCGGGTTTTAAATGATTGAATGGAGCGTGAAATGGAAGAAAAAAAAAACACCGTTCGGGGGTAACAAATATTCCGGATATATAATCAATCTTAAAAACAGTCAGTTAGTTTAAAATTCACCCTCGAATCATGCCTAATGCTTCGGGGGCTGTCTTGATTGGATTGTCGCACCAACTAGAACGACCGAGGGAGATTAACAATTTAATGAATGTTGATGATTTTATTGCGAAGCACAAAAGAATATATTCGATAATGAACGGGTCTTTACTAACCAAATGTTTTCAATGCGAATCATTTTAATACAATGTCGCCTTATCGCTTTGACGTATCTAAAAAAAAAACACAAAAATACAAAAACTTGTCAAAGCATTGCATTGATTAATTTAAAGGAAGATTTTAAGTTGAAATATGTTACAAAACGATGCGAATTGCACTGACACAACAATCTATGACGATAAACGTTTTTCGGTTTGGCAATAAAGTGTTAAAGTATGTAAGAGAGCTGGATAGTGACCCACTAAATCATAACCTAAGGAGAAGACGAAGAGTTTTGTGTTTTTCATCAAATTTTATAGGATATGTCTGTGGATTCTCTGCTAATTTCTGGGCGTGTCTGCAAATTGAGGGGGAAAACTCACAGACGGAACAGTCAACACCATAATCCTTTTGGTACTTGGTACCATCTTCTTTGAAAGACAATTAAATTATAACAAAAATATTATTTAATGATTAATGACAGCTGTTTCGGCAACACCGTGTCTTTATCAAATCTAATTCAAATTCTAATTCTAAGTTTGACGATAATTTTGATATTTTACATAATGAATCAAAAAGCAAAAAACGGAATTTGTTGGAAGCTATGAGTTATTCAAATCTATTACTTAATTACAAATTGGATATGAATGTGTCTCAATTGTTAAATTTAAATTTATAACCCTACACCGGAAATTACAAATCTATTACTACCTGTTTATATAAATAGGGGTCCGAATATTGTCCACAATTTGTATTTGATAAAGGCACGGTGTTGCCGAAACAGCTAATCATTAAATAACTGTAAAAATCTGAATAATTTTTGTTCTACTTTAGTTGTGTTAAATGGAATTTCATCAAGTAATTCTATCCAAATGAACTAATAATTTCATTTCGCCAATAACGAGAAGGCTGCGCATTACTTCGAATAATTTTAACTCTTCTTCTACTCATTTGTTCAATTAAACATTTGTACTCTTCTCTTGGACACTTCTTTTATCCGTCCCGCATTCTGTTCTTTCCCATATCTGTCTTTTAGTTCCATGGTTTCCTTCCGTCGCTTCCATAAGCTATACTTTCTCCTGTTATTTAGGAAAGTTTCGGTTATCGCTGTTTTACAACTATATTCTTTTTTTTCTTTTTCTACAACACTACAAATACTTTTGCCACAAGTATAGTTGATATGAAAAATGAAAAATCGCTCTTATCAGTGCCTTGACCCTTGCACTCAAATCTTGCTTTGTGCACATTTCTGTCACTGAAGGAAAATTACCTCTGCTGTATGTGGGTGTGTTTGGTGCTTGGAGTTTAGTTTTTGGAACGCTAAACTTATTATTATTTATCTAAACAGAGCGTGTATAATATAAGTGCTCCTATTTTAACTGAACTTTGGGCGACACTTTTATAGACTATGGTTATTTATGGTTAATTATATTCCAGTGGGCGTCACAGAGACCAATTCTAAAATATTTTATATTTTCAAATTTTTAAGAAAATATTATGATATTTTTTTAAATAATATTTGAAATAAAATCAAGACAAAATGAATTCATCGGGAATTCATCAAAATTTTTTGAAAGTTTTAACAAATAAAGACGGGTCACATCGGAATATTAACTTAAAAAATACATTTGGCAGGAATTGAAACTTTTAGTATGGATTTGAATATGTGATATTAGTATCATTATTAAAGTATATAATTTTTGTTAACGACGTCAATTAGTTCATGTTTATTATTATTATTATTATTATTATTATTATTACTATTATTATTTTATTATTATGTTTTCTATATTTTATTAAACTTTAATAATGAATGATCCTTTGTAGGCATATGCAATTTTATAAACAATTTTTTTTTATTAGTTTATAATTTTTTATAATCTAACAAACAAACGTGAAAGACTCAATATTGGCTACAATAATAATATCAAACTTTCAAATAATTAGCCATTTTTTAAGTTATTTTAATTCATTTGCCAATATATCTCGTCACTAAATAACACTGAGTGAAGAATTCCGCCACCACCCAGTCAACTTTTTGCGTAAATACTTCGTTTCGTGATCTATGTAATCGCAATGAGTAATTAAAGGTTAATAAAGTAAGAAAAGATAAAATTAGGATAATTATAAGGAAGTGTTTACACTGTGTTGGGGTCACAGTGCCATCTAGAGTGCTGACAAGGTAATTTAGAAAAGTGGCAGGCAGAAATCGCAAAGCAAATTCGACAGATGTTCTCCGCAGTTCCTACTTGAAACGGCGGATTGTTCCATTGTAATTTTGTATATAAACTACAAAGAGATGACGGCCCTGTTCTATTAATAAAATTATCCAGTAGTGGACCGTTTGGACTGGATGGTGTAGTATGTGACCGAAAACGACAGCTTCGAAGTGGGCGGCGGTGCGGCAATACAGAACAAAGCTATTGTGTTCCCGTTCAACCTGTCACTTTCAAATTACATTCACGCTGCGCCGCAGAGCAAATAGAGATAACGTTTGGTCTTTACTCCCCGGACGGACTCTAACCGATAATCAGGTAATATTCTGTAGGCCGTCGGCGAAAGTAACAAAAAAAAAGCGTCCACTAAGCAAGCACTAAATAAACTACATTGTTGATGTTGGAATACAATACCTTGCGTGTTAGGTACATTTATTTGTATAAGTAATATGCAATACATATTGCGTTTACGTCTCTTTATCTTTGCCTCTCAGTACCGTATATATTTGATTCACTTTTTCTCTGTACTTGACTGTCGTGTGCGCGTCATGTAAAAATGTGAGTTGTAACTTCTATATAATAAACGGTCGGTTATTTTGTACGTACTTATTTTATTGGCAAACGTTGATATAAGTAACGAAAGGGCTTTGAACTATTGCGTGGCCGAATTTTTTTTGTCGTTCTTTGTGTCGTTTATTCAAAATGGCTGCCGATGTAGGTTCCGCATTTTCTGCGATCGAAAAATTGAAAGGTCGACAGAATTATAGCGACTGGCGATTTCAAATCACTGCTCTGTTGAAACATGATGGTCTTTGGGAATGTGTGATGGGGCAGATGGTTACTTTCGCGACTACTGACGAAACTCCAACAGCGGTTGCAGCATGCCGGGAGGCAGCACGTAAGGAAGAAAAAGCGTTATCCAAAATAATTCTTTCCTTGGACAAGTCAACGTACCCGCACGTGATGCAGGCAAAAACATCGATAGAAGCTTGGAAGGCTCTTGAAAAAGCCTTTGAAGACAAGGGACTTCATCGACGTCTGCGCCTTTTGAGGAATCTGTGTTACATTAAGTTGAGTAATTATGATACAATGGAGGATTATGTTAATGAAATTATGTCTCTCTCGCAACAACTTATTTCGATGGGTAGACCTATTGATGATAAGTTTTTAGGTGTTGTTATGCTCCAAGGGCTCACTGAAGATTATGACCCGATGAAAGTTCTGGAACTGACATAACCTCAGATTTTGTAAAGACCAAGCTCCTGCAAGATAAAAAATGGCATAATGGTAAATGCTCAAATGGAGACACAGCACTGATATCAAAAACAGGTAAAAAGACTCCTTGGTGCTGCTGATGTTGCTCAAAGGGGCACTATAAAAATCAGTGTACCCAGAAACAATATAACCATCAAAATAAGTTTCCTCATGCAAAAGTTAAAAATATGAATAGCAACAAAGCTTTGTTTGCAGCTTTTAACATAAGTGAAAGACATATTTTACCAAATGTATGGTATATTGATAGTGGAGCTACTTCTCATATGACTGGTCTGACAAAAATAAAGGACAGGAAATTATAGTTGCTGACAATGCTAGGTTGTCTGTTGCCGGAACGGGAGATGCAGTTGTCAAGTTGCAGCAAAATGGCAGCGAAAGACGCATTTCAGATATAAAATATGTTCCTAACCTGGTGTGAATTTATTAAGTGTTAATTCACTAATTTCAAAGGGTTTTAGTGTATCTTTTGATTCGCAGGGTTGGCGAATATTTAATTGCAAAGAATTCACCAACAGCTTGATACAATACCAGAAAGTGACATCTGTGCAAATACTGCAGAAGTCATAGAATCGCAAATGCTGTGGCACAAAAGCATCTTAATCATTTTAGCATGAAGTTGTTAAAAGAAGGTTTGGCCTCAGGAATTAGCTATTGTGATACTCAACCTCCATCCTTGTGTGAAAGTTGCATTTAGGGTAAGCATTCGAAGAAACCGTTCCCCAAAAATAAAAGTAATGGGGTGGCTGCGAATAAATTAGACTTAATCCACTCAGATGTAATGGGACCTATAGAAATAAAGTCCTGGTGTGGTGCTAGATATATTTTTACACTAATTGACGACAGCACAAGAAAAGATTTCTGTTATTTTCTCAAAAGTAAAGATGAAGTTGCTGATTGCTTTAAAGTTTTTTGTGTTCGAGTCGAAAATGAAACAGAAAGAAAAATAAAAATATTACGAACTGATAATGGTGGTGAATACTGCAATCAGAATTTGGACAAGTTTTTAAAACAAAAAGGTATAAAACATGAGATGACGGTTCCTTATACACCAGAACAAAATGGTGTAGCCGAACGTTACAACCGCACAATAATGGATAAGGTGCGCTCAATGATGTTTGATACAAATTGTCCAAGCCAGATGTGGACGGAGGCGGCGAACATGGCTGTCTATCTTATAAATAGATCACCAACTAAAAGGATCAAGGGAGAAACTCCAGAGGAAAGATGGACAGGCAAGAAGGTCGATCTTGGTCACCTTAGAGTGTTTGGCTGTACAGCCTTTGTTCGTGTCCCTGATGGAAAACGAGGGAAACTGGAACAGAAAAGCAAGGAATATATATTTGTTGGCTATTCTGATGTAACTACAGGATATAGATTAATTGACCCCATTACTCACAAACTTCGAATTGCAAGAGATGTGATATTTTTGGAACAGAAAACTGTGCGTTTAGAACATGAAGCAAGTTCTCAGAACATCGGCGTTATTACCATGCCACTGGAGGGTGCAGAATTTGGAATGGACCACAAAAATGGTAAGAACCTCTTCAGCAGACTAATGACGCGGTAAGTGATGTTTCAGAGAGTGAACCTTTTGAAGATGCAGAGAGAACTCTAGTTGCCAAAGAAGACAGTTCTTCAGCAAGTTCCCCAGAAAAATTGGTGGAAAATGGTGTACCGTCTGATGACGGGACAGTTGCTGTGATTGGACAAACAGGTGCTATGGAAGCGCGAATGAGTGATGTGCAACAGGTTCCTGATAGTGATGTGAATGTTACTGAGGACCGAAGGTACCCAAAAAGAATCTCTCGTAAGCCGACGTTTTTTAACGAATATGTTTTGACCGACTTATCTGATTCAGATATTGATTTTGCTATGTTATCTTTAAATGTACAGTCAGAGCCAGAGACTGTTTCCGGAGCATTGTCTGCACCAAATAAAGATCAATGGATTCTAGCTATCCAAAGGGAGCTTAATGCTTTTAGACAGAATAGTGCTTGGGAATTAGTTGACAGGCCTGCTAACACCAATATTGTTAGAAATAAGTGGGTGTTTAAAATCAAAAGAGATCAGAGCGGCCAAATTGCAACATATAGAGCTCGTTTGGCGGCAAAGGGGTTTACTCAAAAATATGGAGTTGATTATACTGAAACTTTTTCCCCTGTTGTCCGTTTTTCTAGTTTGAGACCTTTGTTTGCAATGGCAGCTGAATTGAATCTTGAAGGTGATCATCTTGACGTTGAAACTGCATTCCTTAATGGTGGCCCGAATGAAACAATATATATGTGTCAACCTGATGGCTTCAAGGAGCCTGGCTTACAAAATAAAGTTTGCTTGTTAAAGAAAGCTATTTATGGACTCAAGCAATCATCTCGTTTGTGGTCTGAAAAAGCCAGTAGAGTTTTGCAAAAATTAAACTTTGTGCAGTCTGAGATTGAACCCTGTTTGTATTTTAAAGTTACAGATAACTCCATTGTCATCATGGCTCTGTATGTTGACGATTTTTTCTTGTTCTATAATAATTTCGAAGAAATTAAAGTGCTAAAATAGGAATTGCATAAAAACTTTGACATCAAAGACTTGGGGCCTATATCTTACTGTTTAGGCATGAAAATAGAAAGAAATCGTACCAAAAATGAATTAAAATTAAGTCAGGAGCAATATATAACTAAATTGCTTGAACGTTTTCAAATGACTGACTGTAGTACTGTGAGCACTCTTTATTCATGAGCTCTTCTTCACTACTAATAGTGAGTGTCAATTTCTAAATGTATCACAGGCATGTAGAGTATATAATGACAATCAAAGTGCCATAAAATTAGCCCAAAATCAAATATTTCACAAGCGTACAAAACATATACATGTGAAATACCATTTCTTACGAGAAAAAGTTAGAGATGGTAGTGTTACTTTTCTATACATGTCAACTATTGACTTGGTAGCCGACTTACTTACAAAAGGTCTGGCTAGTAATAAACACTTATATTTATGTGGTAAACTAAGCTTGCAGTGATTTAGCTGTAATTTAACTTAAAATGGGACTAAAATTTGGTATCTTATTGTACTCGCCTATGTAACGCAAATATTGAGCGAGAATGTTGGAATACAATACTTTGCGTGTTAGGTACATTTATTTGTATAAGTAATATGCAATACATATTGCGTTTACGTCTCTTTATCTTTGCCTCTCAGTACCGTAGATATTTGATTCACTTGTTCTCTGTACTTCACTGTCGTGTGTGCGTCATGTAAAAATATGTGTTGCAGCTTCTGTATAATAAACGGCCGGTTATTTTGTACGTACTTATTTTATTGGCAAACGTTCATACAAGTAACGAATTCCGCTTGTGCTTATCGCCCGTAACAGTTGGAACATGAATTGTATTCTATTTCTATTCAACAGAAAATTAAAATCCTTTACCCATCACCCAAGAAAGTTAATTTTTGATATCGATAAGCTTTAATTTTAAGAAGTTTTGAATTACAGAGAGTTTGACAAGCTTTTTTTGATTTCCAAGCAACATCAACGGTTTTAAATTTGATAAACAGTTTTAAAAATCGCCAAAGGATAGCCAGGAAATAGGAGTGAAAACATTATGCATCTCAGAAACACATTACAATACCGAAGACTGGAAAGTGTAAGCAAAGAAATCCAAAGATTGAAGATTAGAAGGGAAGATGTGAAAATGAAAGTTCGAAATATGATTTATAATTTGTATAGACCAAAAACCAATGTAAATCTTCCAGTTTTGAAACAAGCGTTTAAACTTATTGTGTGAGATATTTCAATTATTATCAAGATTAGTAAGCACATTAAGTTGTCGCTATAAAAAAGAGTGTAACCAAAGATTTTTATGTGAACAGCTATAGTGGTGAGTCAGCTGTTCAATTAAAAAAAAACAGATATAGTGAATTATCTATATTATAACTCAGAAAAGTGGTATTTTTAGAGGAAACATGGATATTTTCCAACTGAAATGGACTAAAAACCTTGGCAAGAGAATCTGTAAAAATTTCAAGAGAAAAAGTATGGCAAAACAGCAAATTATGTTCCATACCGCTTGTTCGATAAGATTTATTCCAGATACAAGTTTAATTTTCTCTTATACATCAAAGAGTTTGCACTATAACGACAATCTGAAATGTGCAATATTTAAAAAATGACTAACAGAAAAACTCATATCAAATTAATTAATTGTATCCGACAACACACCGTGTGATTTAATATTACTGCGTACTGTGTACTATTGTAGTATATAAACCTATTATGTCTTTTATTTTAAATTTTTTTCATTAATTTTTGTATAGCAACGTGGGTCAATTTCAAAATTTTAAAGCATTACTTTTTCTATGATTTAACATAATATTATTACTTAATCAACTTTCAATCAGGTCATCGGTGCTTGAAATACATTTTAAAATTTTTTTCTTTTTAAATTGCTTTTCAGCAGTAAAAATTCTAAAATGTGACATTAGCTGTTAATCGTACCACCCTGTCAGATAAAAATAACTCTTCAAAAAGTTCCCAATAATATTAAAATAAAGCAAAGAGTCGTAAAAAAATAACTACAATTAAAACTAACCGAAATCATTTTTTTATTAACTTCTTTAGAGTTTTTTTTCTTGAAAATCTTAAGAAAAGTAAATCTACATAACTTTAAATACATTTACCAAAGATGCTTCTTAGACTATATTATTGCGTGCTAATGACCCTCTGAAATAAATTCGACTTTGAACAGAAACAAAATTCACCGAGGTAAAAGCTAAAACGGAAACAGAAATTAAAATAGAAACACATCAACCGTAACGGCAACGTCCAGTTCATTTGGCGAACTTTAACCCCAGCGACTATCGCAATATCGTTAGAAGCGATATAAGGGGCTAATAAATGTTGATTTTTCGTTTGGCAAGCTCCAATATGTTTATGTAAATTATGCAATCGAGCCAGAAAAGCCGAAATTGTCCCCGCTTATAAATCAAATATTTTATCAGCTTGCATTTCCTGCAGGCAAATAAACGAGTTTTGAAACGTAGCCAGGCCCTCATCGTCGCTTTATCACTTACGGCAGCGTTGCCAAACAGCATTCGTATAAACAACGCGCAATCAACCCTGTCTAGTAATGGCGAAATTGTTTCTTGAATAGATTGCAATTCCTATCCTCATCTAGTAGTTATTGCTTCATTTTCGCTTGGTTTCCTAATCACTGCACTTCCCGACAAAGTGAGCTAGTAAATAGAATTTAAATTAAAAATAAATAGTTTAATTAAACTAAAATAAAATAAACATATAAATAGAGTTTTTCTCAAACTTTAATTATAAAGTTTACGTGAAACCATATATCAAGTCGACCTCAGTATAGTCAGCACAAATAGATAAAGATATTTAACATAATTAAGCAGCTATCAGTGATGTTCGGTGAAGAAAATATCAAAGCAATATAAAGACATTACAACAAAGGTATTTAATAAAATCAACTTGTAAAAATTTAAATTATAGGGATTTTTTTACTTCTTATTTGACGGGTCGATAACAGTGTGTGCAGCATAATTTGATATTTGAAGTCACGGCGGGCGTTCCTCAAGGCTCCAATTTAGCACCACTTTAATTTTTAATTTTTATTAGCGATATATCCGAGGTATATGGATGTTGAACGTGAAGTTTTTGCTAATGATTTATAGGTCTATAAGGAACTCTAAGAACGGCTCTAAGTTGCAAGATTCTGAGTCAGTGCATCAGTGTTTTGCGAAAAATAAAATGTTATTTAGTAACTCTGAAAGTGGAAGATGTATTATAACGATGGTTTTTATTTCAAGAAACCTCATTGTAGAATAAGTACAAAGAAATTTCTTTTTTTCATTTAAAGAGGATAATTTTTATACCAGAATAGAAATAAATAATTAATTACGTGTGCAAAAGATTTAAGATGATAGCAAGAAAATTGTAATATTATATATGTATTGTTTATTAGGAAATTCGGATTATTCCTATAACAAGGACCTATGAAGGATAATATGTACAAAATTTACATTTATATCCTTATAAGTGAGAAAGGACTTAAGTTTTAGAATTATCGTCAACCTCGCAACCCCCACTAGATCCAATTGTTCCACAAAAAAACTCTACATCTTTAATCATGTTAGTTATTGTTATTGTTATACCGGGGCACGTTGAATAGAATTTCATTTTCTATATAGTGCAAAGTTCAGTATAATTGAGTTTATAAAACAAACCTTTATAAGTAAATTTTGTTAAATAATCACTTGTTAGTGTAAGTTGAGCTAGAATCCTAGTTGTTCGGAGAGGAAAATTGCAGCTGAGATATTTTGGTAAACCGTCACTTAAACTGTTGGTTACCAAAGAATTTCCCTAATATGTATATTTAATTTCAGTACATTTTAGTTAAGTGAAATTAGGGAGTTTAGTAGTTATATAATAAATTTTTCTTATTTATGGTTTTCTCTCTAGAGATATATGTTCTGCCTTTTTTCTTGTAGAACGTATTAAACGATTTGCATATTTTCTTACATCTAATACAAAATAAAGTTTCTTATTACCATGATTACTATTAATAAACAACAACAGATGCCTGTCAACTTTTGTACACAAACGGACAGGTTGAAATAATAATAATAAGGATAATAAAAGCATAAATGTACAAACAATATAAATATATACAGGGCGAAGTCCAGCCTAGGTTATTCAAACTTAAAGTTGATGAACCAGACTAAAACCTAGTTTATGTAAATAGCGCACAAACTTATAAATACACCAATTTACACCAATGTTATTTGAAAGTTATATGTGAAACTTTCTTTGTATTCATGTGTTTCGGTATTAAAAATTTTAATTTACTTCTGGTATTTCTATTATCCATACCAGAGTTCAGCTTGAATTTATTTATAAGACTTTCTAAAGTAAGAAGAGAGCTTTTTGCTAAACCATGTACAAAACAACCCAAACGATAAGTCGTTCGATAAAGCATGTTCAACCACTGAAGTTTATTAATTGTATGTGTGTTATATGATCCGATTTTCTTATACGCCGAGGCAAGGGCAGTAGATAAAGCTCGCATAACTAAAATGACGAGTGGAGCAAAGTTGCTTACGTGAGATATATGTATAAATGACATCAATAGGAAATCGACGAGTCATAAAACAAGCCGGCAACGTCGCAATCTGCGTCTTTAATTCGTCGTTCGCCATCCTCGCATGACCCATTCGAAGCGAAATGATTCCGGCCATACACTTTGAAATCCAATAGTTCAACGAAAATAAATAATTTTTGTGTTTTCCAATCCAATTTTCGCCTTTTTCAATAACCAGCCGAGCGTTCCTGAACGACGTAAGTCGCGGGGTGAAAGCGCTTTTCCGGGCGTAGGCGATATTGGAGAGTAAATTGTCTCATGTCAAATTTCCCGCTACGATTGAATGGTGGTGCTTAAATCGCGAAAAGAAAAAATATCCAAAAACAAACCCCGACCAATGCGACTTAAACTGCGGAGTAGATGTGCGCAATACATTAATTTATGCAGAAAGATTTTTCGAATCGACGATATATCAGAAAATTTATTCTATTTTGTAAGAATCAGTATCAAAATGTGTACATAAGTATTGCAATAGTATTTGGTAGGAAATCAGACACAAAGAAATTTCTCCACACTTGTAGAAATTTATTAAGAATAGGCAACGAAGCAATACATTTTAAGGATCTCGTTAAAAAACTAGGGTTGTTGATTGATTCATTGATTGATTGGTTGATGAAGATTTACCACACATATCAATGCCTTTTTAAAAAAAAGCGTATATTATTTAAAAATTAATTTTTCAAGACCTCTCAAATCATTACTTTGCGAATCGTTGGTGTAATTCCAAATGTCATCTATGCACCCTGCCTAATATCCTGCGATAAGTTCGAAAAAGTTTTGTTTACGCTTGATTTATAGAACTCGAAAAAATTAACAATCTGGCAAATGACTTTTAATATTATAAACAAAAAATTCCTTTAAGCAGTTTAAATTCATGTTCTCGAATCAGTACTTGCAACCTCTACCACGTTCATAAATTAGTTAATAAGCTTATTTCCAAAGGTATTAGTTAAATTTCAATTTTTTTGGTTAATAATTACATTATTAAAAATATTTTATAATTATAAAATATTTCATCAGTGTTTTTTCATACATCAGATTTTCGTTAATTATGTTCACAATTTTATAGAGTAATAGAGTCATTTATGCTAATTTGTCTTGAAGTTAGTTCAAATCGTTAGTTAGTTTATCAAAAAGA